TAATGGTAATATTGCCATGCAATAAGGCCATGCAAAGACATAATGTAGGCCGATTTGTTTAAAATGAAATAAGAATTAGTTTAACATTTTAATGACAAGAATTAAGCCCTTAATAAAACTTTATGTAATACTAAATGATATATTAATAATAATAATTTAAAAATGGCTTTTAGACTGCTAACTCCCTCTGCTCACTGCAACGTTGTTGCAGCCTGGTGTTGAAGAATTCATGGTGGCCTGGTGGTTGGGAGCCTCTGAATGAAAGGCTCTGAATGTAAGACTAAACATGCAATGAGTCTGAGGCTTCCAACATCTGTTCTTTGATCTTTACTGAAAACTAGTTATGTATGTTGTTTTGTAATTTTAAGGACTTTTTCAAAACCAAGTGAGCAGAAAACAGTGGGTTTTAAGACGTGTTGGTTAACTGTTAACATTGGTTAATAAATCTTAAATTCTTACATCACTGTGCATCAGGAGCAGCATCAGAAAACACCTTCTGCAACACAGTTCCACACCACACTGCGGCGAGGGCACCAAAATCAATACCACTTTTGGACACAACACCCCCCTCACTCAGACTGTCAACACATGAACAAGGGCAAGACTTCATTAGCTGGATAAAACCCAATACCTGAAAGCTAATAGCCCAGCACATGTGCGAAACCACATCCACCACAGTGCCACAAAGATTTGCTAAGAAAAAGAACTGCACAAAGTATTTTCCCCTTTTTTTACACAGAGTAATTCAATTTAAAATTCATAACTCTAATTAGTCGGTATGCCACTGTTCCGAGAGCTACTTTTCGGAAGCTGCATAACAGATTAGTGGATTTGAAATGCATCTAATGTAGGATTATTCAGGCAACAAGGGTATTATGCATATGCCAAGGACTGCTATTAATCCAAGAGTTTTGCTACACAGATATTCAATGCCTTCCTTTCTCTTTTCAGGGAAAAAAGGGACCAAAAATGGAGTAGAAAGGAGCTAGAGCCGGAGCCAGATGAGCAGAATGAGTGAGAGGCAGAAAAAGACTGTGTAAGCCTGAATTAGAGCGAAAGTGCCGTACGCTAATCCTGGCTGAGTAAAATAGACTCAAGTTGGTCTTACCGAGATGTGGAGATAGCCAGGAAAAGGTGGAATGAGGCAGGGAAGGCATGAGTAAGCCTGATTAAGCTGGAATAAGCCTGCGTAAGCCTGAATAAGGAAGGCGTGGAGTGCAAGAGTGGGCGCGGGGATCAGGATCGAGGCACAGCTCTATGCATTATGGAGGAGACATATCCTTAAGAGCAGAGGATAAAGCCTGTCCTGACAGGAGAAAAACGCACGCACAGAGAACACATAGCCGCACACTGGCTGGATATGCATAGTCATATATTCTGATGGCTAGGCCATGCATGTATACTGACACAGACAGAGTTTGTATTCCTGTCTTTGTGGGCCATTTCCATTGACCTGTATTATAACAGCTAAATGCTGCTGTGCTACACCAAACACAGCCCTAACCAAAACCTAAGTAGCTATATTTTTCAAATGTTTTTGTTTGATTTTATTCGGTTAGTTTAGTTTTTATTACTGATCATTTTGCAGGGCTGTGCAAAACTCGGAGACCACCCTTCATTTATTGAATGTACAGTTAAAAAGACCAGCAGCTTCTTTTTTCATTTGCAAATTTTCTTCTGTTTTGGCTATTTCCTTTTCTCAGTAAGGGCTTCTTGACAGCTACACATCCTTTCAGACTCATAGTGTTGAGCTGTCCTCTCACAGTGGAAGGACGGACAGAAACACCTGTGGATTTTTGCAGATCTGAAGCAAGAATAGAGCTTTATTTTCTCTCAAAGATGAAAGCTTTAAGTGCTGTTTATCTGATGGCGACATTTTTGGTGGTCTACTAGGTCTTTCATGGTTGTTAAGGGTCTCATTACCTCTGTATCTTTTAACCACCAATTTGCAGGCAAAAATGTAGTTGACTTCTAGCCTTCATAACTTCAGAACGGTTTAAGCCACAGACATGATACACATATCAGACCAATCAGCAGACCCAGACCAAACTAGTTAGCTGTGACGTCATCATCAGTGAGTGATTCGTCTCAGAAAAATCACCCAAAATCCTGATATTATTGCTCTCCTTTCAGCCTTCATATTGCAAACAAAGGGTTGAAAAAGTGACATGATTCACAAATCAGATCACTTATCAGACTCTGCCCTCACCATCCAGAGTGATTTCATCCACCTGTGACCATCCATCAGCCAGCAATCCAGCTCCAAAATCACCTAAAGCTCTAACATCCCACAACCCAGAAATACAGCATAATAACACAGCCAGATCACTGTAAAACCTGCTATTAGCTCTCTGCTTTAGCCTTCATATAGGAACACATGCCAAACTCTTTTGCAACAGTTTTGAAAAATTCAGTTTTTTTAAATTAATATTTCTTGTTATATTTTAATACTAAAGAATATACCATAATTACCTTTTTACAGTGACTTCTTGTCAAGATTTGATCACCACTATACAAGGCATTATGGACATGTATTTTATTATAACTTATTATGAACTAATTCTCAGTGTTATGTAGCTATACAGTTATTACATAATCATCTATAATTGCTCCTTATCATTCTGGACATGTCTTAATTTTTTACAGCTTCTTAAATCTGAAACCTGCATAGTTGTGTAGAGTCCTGGCAATATATTTGAAACATTTTATGCATGTGTCTGCAACCAAAATGATTTTATATCGATAAAAAGGTGATTTATTTACTGTACATTTCTCCATTTCTTCCCAAACGTCCCCACAAGGTTAAAATTGTCCTGTTTTTCTGTCCTCCTGGGGACCTTAGGTGTCCACAAAAAGCTAAATACATAACAAAACACATTCACACACAGACCCAGTCTGGCAGAACACAAGCTGAATCTGAGCGAGGTTTTAAGAGAGCATGCACTTTTCCCCACCCACTGTGCTTGTTGCCTTCTCTCATCCTTTATTCCTGATTCTGAAATGCATGCATGCACATGGGCTCACACATTTGGAGTCCTTAGGCATTCATAGATATGACACTTGATAGAAAAGACACATTTCCATAGTAATTAATTGTAAAGCGTGGTCGGGTCAGTTATAGTGGAGTCTCTGAGCAGTGAGGATATTGTGTACAATGCTGGAATACTAGAAAAGCTCATCCACAGCCAAGCCTTACTGAGCACAAGAGCAGACAAAGCATGAACAATACATCAAACAGATAGCACTCACTGCTGATGCACCCCAAGCACCATGTCTACAGCGACATGAAAAGGCGCACACGCACAGACACACACAAACAGACAGTCAGACAGACAGACGGGCAGACACACACACATTGCTTTGTATTCCTATCATTCTCAGGTATTTTTTTTATTGCATTCTACCTAAATGCTGCTATGTTAACTTAACCTTAAAGGGGAATTCCATTTGTTTTTCAAAATCTTTGCATAATTATTTGGTTACAGTGTCACCAAAGTCATCCAGAGTTGTTTGATGGGAAACGCACCATTCTAGAGAAACCTATACCCAGAACTGTTCACAGTGGTGGTGATAGGAACAAGACGTCCAAAATTTAAAGCCTCTAAAACAGGGACTCCCAATTCTAGTCCTGTCAACCTAACTCTGTGCACATTTTTGTGCTTTGTCTCATCGAGCACACCTGGTTCAACTCATCAACTAATTATTAAGAGCCTTGTTGGCTGGCTCAGGTGTGTAGAGTAGAGAAACCACCCTTTGCTCTGCAAAGGGTCTCCAGGACTGGGATTGGGAACCCCCGCTCCAAAAGACCTCAGAGAATGTTAATGGTTGCAAACCAGTAACTGATACCTGAGGCATTGTTTTGCAATAATTCTGAGTGTTGTAAGGCAAAATAGTCCCCAAAGAAACTTCTTCTATTGTCAACATTACATATAAAAACTAACAAGACACAATGTAGGTTCACTGGTCATTTATGAAAGTAAATAAAAGCAATGTTTGTGTTGTAGACATTGCAATTCCTGGTTTCTATCACGACAATTGAAAATAAATTCGGTAACTGTCTCTTTACACCACTCTGAATGACTTTGTTTACATCTTGGTAAATAACTTATGCTGAAATCTGTGGAATTCTGTGTTAACCTCAGCAACCAAAACTAAAACTTGGCAAATGTCTCTGTAATGTCAAAATGTTGCTTTCCTTCAAAATGGGGACATTTGGTCCTCACAAGGAGCTAAATACATATCCATACACACAAACTGAATAAGCACCCACACACTCATTTCCTACTCCATGATCCGAAGGGCAGAAACTCTTCAGCCTCGCTCTTGATAGTGGATGGTGTGTATGTGTTTGTGTTCTAATAGATCATAACCATGTAATAATTATCCATTACACCCACTCAGCCACTTCACTAAGCCATGTATGAACCAAGACAACTTTCTCTCTCAAGCAGACACCCACACCTGCACTTGTTTTTCCATCTAGTCCCTTTACTTTCCCTGTTGTCTCCCCCTATCTCTCGACTCTGTTTTCTTATCCCCCTTTTTACCCTTTTCTCCTGCTATTCTCTCTCTCTACCTGGCAGCTTTGTGTTCCTGTCGATAGTGATTTTTTTTAATTAAAACATTAAAAGTCTTAATTGCACATTGAGGCCCATTCCCAAGCCTCTCCATCTCCTCCTCTTCCTTCTACAAAGTGATTGCTTCTTGTCTCAAGTACTGCAGGAGCAAAGGATTAAATCTCTCTCATTCTCTCTTGGAGGTGATACAGTCTATTGGAGTAAAGCCTCCATGCCTTATTAGTCATAGGGGTGGTACAGATGCTTCCCTGTACTGTGCAGTAAGGGAAATGGTGCTTTCATATGCAATATCAGGCAATAGAGTGAGACGGTCTAACATAAATTCATATGGGTAGGGAGCTTAGGCAAACCATGGGATATGTTTCGTATACTTTATACAGAACTTGAATGATATTTGTCATGTTGAGGTCATATCTGTGGTAGTTTTGAATCTAATTTATGTCTCCTTGTTTCATTTTTCATTTATTTTCTGCTCCCCCATTCTTTCCAATCTTGGTCTTTCTTTGTCATTTTCTGCCTCCTCTTTCATCATTTCCATCCAATCCCATGGTACCTCTCTCTCCCATCCTATCTGTGCCTGCAGTTTGCTCTGGGACAGGAAGATCCCCACTCCTCCTCTTCCTCTTCTTTGAGTGCAAAGTCTTCATCCCCTGCGGATCCCCCCAAGACTCTGGGTGTGCTGGGTGGTCAGGGGTCCCTCTCACCCCTTAGTCGCTGGGTGCTGCACAGCCGGGGACGGGCAGCCAACGCGTCGGCACTGGAGCTACCCTACCGCTCACCCGTACCCTTCTCCAAACAGGAGTTCTGGGAAATGCTGGGCAGTGACCTGCTCAAGCAAGACCCGAACGTTGATGCCGATCCCTTGGGAAACTCGCGGGTCAAACGCCGGCCCATCGTCAAGACAGGCAAATTCAAGAAGATGTTCGGCTGGGGTGACTTCTACTCCAACATCAAGACGGTGCGCCTCAACCTGCTCATCACGGGCAAGATTGTGGACCACGGAAACGGGACGTTCAGTGTCTACTTCCGTCACAACTCCACAGGCCAGGGCAACATCTCTGTCAGCCTGGTGCCTCCTGTCAAGGCGGTGGAGTTTGACCTGGAACGCCAGAGCGTGGTCTACCCCAAGGACTCTAAGATATTCAACTGCCGGGTGGACTACGAAAAGGTGGACCGCAGCAAGCGCACCTCGCTGTGCAACTACGACCCGTCCAAGACCTGCTTCCAGGAGCAGACGCAGAGCCACGTCTCCTGGATCTGCTCCAAGCCCTTCAAGGTCATCTGCATCTACATCTCCTTCTACAGCACGGACTACCGGCTGGTGCAGAAAGTGTGCCCGGACTACAACTACCACAATGAGATGCCCTACCTGCCTTCTGGATAGAGGAGGAAGGGGCCGGAATAGAGGGGAAAGAAGAGGACAGGATCTGTGAGGACAAAGTACAACCAGGGATGGAGGGATGAGGAGCAGGAAGTCATCAGGAAGGAAAGGAAGGGTTGGGGTTATAGATGTTGTAGGTGTTGGTCTGTTTACAATATCAGAAGGGAGCACGTTCTAAAAGGGTAACAAAGTTCTCCTCAGAATGTAAAGACTGAAGAGTTCCCTGCCCAACATTGCAAGGAATCTTACACCACTGACCTCTTTGGAAAAGGATCCCTTTGCAAACTGAGCATTTTTCCATGGATTGTGTTTGATCATCTGTAATATTACCAAGGTGAATGTAAGGCATTTTGCTCCTGTGATAAATGTCTTGAAGAACCTCTCTGAAAAACCTGACAAATGTGACCTGCAAAAATCTATATATGCAAATCGAGCTGTCTAGCACAGGTACGCAGGTGAGAATAGATACCAACATGAGGCTGTGGTCACTGGCAACTCCCACCAGAATGCTTTTAAGTATCATTGGCCCTACAGCAGGACGAGGTGACATGCACATGCTTGAGGTCAAAAAAAAAAAACAAGCAGGAATTACCATGTTGATATCCATACACCTACTATGCAGAAGCTGGGGGTGTTTGCGTTCACTTTTCTTGAGGGAAAAGAAGAGAAAAGAAACTCTTTGTGCATAATTCTGGTTAAACTCACCAACGCATCCAACACAGAAACACATGCCACTTTGACCTCCTGATCTCCCAGATTGTGAGGGTTATCAAAAAAGGAAGAGAAAAAAGAGAGAAAGAAAGCAGGAAACACTTAAAATCCTTGATAAAGATGGTGGAGAATGCAAATCGAGAAAGAGTGAAGAGGAATGAGAAAGATATAGTGAGAGAAAGGAGACAAAAGGTAAGGGGGGTTCAGAGAGCTCTTTAATTAAGGTAAAGCAGAGAGACAGAGATGTTGAGTATGAATTGAACTGCTTGCTCTATTGTTCTGTCCATGCAAGAAGGGGAGAAAGAAAGATTACATTTTGTTGCCGTCAGGATTCTTGATTTCACGGTATGATAAATTACCCGCTCAATGCAAGATTGCTCCGTCCTTCTCTGAGCAAGCCTTTTTTCCGCTACAGTCAGCCCCGTTATCTCTGATTAAAAAGAGAAATATTATTACGATAATTATGCATAATTTAATCACACTTAAGACTTAATTAAAGACTGAGCTAAATGGATTTGCCAGTGGTAGATTCGGAGATTCATTTGGCCTGGGAGATGTTTCTACAGGCCAAATTACCACATTAGACAAACAGCAGTCAAGTTGACCTTCCACAACTATGCAATTTAATGATGATTACAGTTCAGTTAAGGAAAAACAGTTATTAAAATTGAAGTACATGGGAAACTACAAGCTTTAGGTCTTTTTTATAAAGACTTAATCAGAATGCTTTTAAGGGCAAGGCCGTGTCGAACTAGCCAGAGCTTTGATAGTGGATGAGGAAGTAAGAAAGGACAGCAACATGAGGGAAAGGTATAGAGATAGTGGGAGGGTTCATAAAGGTACACTGACATGAAAATACGAGCGAGACAAGAAAGGTACGGGGATTGACGATTGAGGATTGGAGAACAGAAGAAGAAGCCAGTTAAACGGGGCGGACGAGGTAACGGCATAAAAGCAAAGCGGAGGACAGAAATTAGACGATGATGGAGGTACAGGCAAGCAGATGAAAAAGAGAACCAGAGCAAAGCAGTGAAGAAAGAAGGAGAAAGGGGAAAAAAAAGAATGAAAAACAAACTCATGATGCTAAATGCGGTAACATAAAAGCACAATGTGGAACATCAAAGCGTCTCGCTGTTTGATTCACTGCAGGAGAGAGAGAGAGAGAGAGAGAGAGAGAGAGAGAGAGAGAGAGAGAGAGAGAGAGCAGCCTTTTTATGAGCTCATAACTAAAAACATCCCTTGCCTGAAGTTAAAGCCAGCGTGGTGAATCCGTCCCTGCAGGCCCGCACATTAGCGCTGTTATAAAGGCAGGTATATCCTGAATGATACGACTGTTTATGCTCAGTCATAAAGCCCCCTACTCTCTCCATTTATCTCCCTCTAATCTTCAGCCTTCTGCGTTCTACGTAGGCTTGTTAGAAAATGCTCATGGAGACGTTTCCCAAATCCTCTGTCTGAGTGGGTTGCGCTCGAAAGAACATAACTCCACGTTTAATCAGATTTAAGGCCGTTTTCAGCAATGCACATTATGCAAATCAATAACAGGTAAGAGGCTGGCGGAAAGCTTGCCTCACTGCTTTATCAAGAATCAAATTAAGCTTTATTTCACTAGGTACACTACTGTTTACAATTTTGGAATCACTGCTTTGCTTAAAATAAAACCAGGTTAATGTATAAAATGATTCTCACATGATGTTACTTCTCTACAACTTCAAAGGTTTCAACTAATTGTAGGAAGCTATAAAAAAGAAATGGTATGTGTGTTCAGAAGGTTGAACAGATCTGTAGATGATTCTAAAATAAGAAAGCTGTATGACACTTTTTAATGAACTTAATATCCAGAATGTCTTGCATGTGAAAAGTAGTGATCACATCTTGAGGCAGATCATTTAACAAGAAATTACTGAAAAAAGAGAACAGTTACAGTGAAATATTTATCATGTAATGACCTTTTAGGGTTCCCAAAAACTTTAATGTTACATAAAACAAAACATCTTGAAATACCTTCTGGTGTCTAGCTTATAGTATTCCAATCTACACTGTATAAGCTATTAAATAAAATAACAGCAATTATGAATATGACAAGTGATTCCAAACTTTTGAACAGTAATATACAAGAAAAAAAACAAAACAATTTGTCTTAACAAACATAAAGCGTATTAAGATATATAGAACATACAAAACAGGCTAAGCAAGTGCATTAGACAAATGAACAAATGTACAAGCGAAATCAGTTTTTTTGTGCGATCTGATAAAAAAGGCTATAATTCTAAAAAAGTATGCAAAAGTTTGGGCAAAAATTTGGGCGCCCCCAGTCAAATGACATGTTTTGTTGACATTCTAACAAAAAAGTTAACACATCCTGTACAGAGAACACACTTCTACACATTTTAATGCACAATTACTGTTTATTTGAGGAATGTGGCATATTGGGAAAAATAAGTTTTTTTTTTTGTTTTGTTTTACCTTTCCAATATGTTGCTTTATGTAGTAACATATATGAAACTTTGCAAAATAAATAGAAATTGTGCACTAAAATTAGCTAAATTTGCACAAAAATGGAACAAAAAAAATCAACAAAATGTAATTTTTTGGCATATATATATATATATATAGATAGATAGATGATATGACAAGAAAAACCTGTGATGTTTCATTGATTATAGTTTCCTCCTGTATTCTTCAGTTCAGAACCAGCAGGTAATTCCTAGAACATATTCACAGACACATATAGTCACTGTCGTAAGAAAACAGTAACTAAATAAAAATGTCAATGGATGTTAATGTAAAAAGTGTCAGGTAATGTAAATTTGATCCATTTATAATGAAATGTTCAACAGTTGCCATTTTCCAATGGTGTTAAAAGAATTTTGAAATTTTGATATGGCAGCAACTGATACTTTTGCTGTCATAATAAAATCTGGTATCACATTATAGGAGAAGAAAAACAGTCTCGCTTTTAATGTATGTTAATGTAAGAAGATTTTATTCTAAGTCACTGTGGGCTATTTCTGTTCACACACTCTGAAGGGCAGTTGGTGTTTTCAAATGGTAGACAAAAAAGTGAGTTAAAGGTTTTGGTACAACAGCGATGTCATGCAGAGAGACACATGGTGTGGTGTGTGTGTGTGGCTAGGGTGCGGTGGGTCTGTCCTGGCCTGCTGGTGAACTGTGCAGTGGAGCGCTCATCTCCCCGTGCCCCGTCCCTGGAGCCTGGGGCAAAGCTGAGCCCGCTAATCTCCTCCAGCTTAACTACATGACCCACTGCAAAAGAGGAGCCCCACACACACACTCTCCCTCACACAGACACACACACACACATTCTAGGGCTGTATGAGATAGACAAAAAACCATACTGAAGGTGTATTACTACACTGAAAAAAGTAATGCACTGAATGTACTTAAATACAATGCTGTGCAAAAGTCAGAGACCACTTCATTCATTTAATTTACAGTCAAAGCATCTATTAAGTAAGTTATTCATTTTTGAGAGGCAGGAAAAAAGCATAAACATATATATTTACATACATACGTACGTATATATATATATGAAAATTACACAGAAGCCTCAATAACTAAACAAAATATCAATTTTTAAGTTGCATTTGCTGCTTCTCCAAGCAATCCCAAGCACATTTAGTGATGTTGAGGTCTGAACTCTGGGGTGGTCTGTTCATTGTTTTGAGAGCACCATCAGCTTCTTTGTTTGATTTGCAAAAGTTCTTCTTCTTTTTTGTCAGTTGCCTTTTCTCAGCTTCTTGACAGCTACACATCCTTTCAGATCCATAGCACTGAGCTGTCTCCTCACAGTGGAAGGACTTTTTTTTTAAAATCTGAAACAAGACAGAAGACTGATTTTCTCAAAGATAAAAAGTACAGTTTATCTGAAGGTGATAGTTTTTGGTCTGATCCTGAGCAGCTGTTAGGACTCTCATTTCCTCCATAGCTTTTAATAATCTTTTAGCCATCGTTTGTTTTTTTCACATATTTTTTCTTTGACTTTCCCTTTCTTTACATAAGTAGGTTACATTATTTCTAATCTCCTCAGAGGTATCTCCTAAAAATGACAGAATATCTCCTTGTGCTTAAGGTTTGACTGGAAATTAAATAATGAAGTATGGTGTCTGACTATATACAGTACTGTATATTACATCACTACAATTGTCTTATGTAAATTAAGGGTTGCACAGACTAGTGAACTAGTCATCTTGGTGATGACACTTGAAGTCGATTAGTCGCTGATCACGTGATTATGCCGCTAACAACATGGCCACCTCAGAGAAGACAATAGGTGGGGTGCCTTGTGATTTCAGGGTCTGTATCTCCAGTTTCCTGAAGGCTAGCAATTTAATCCGGGGCTCATTGGAAATGCACTACTAATCAAATATTGAACATTGTTACCTCTGGTTTCCTGAAGACTACAGTAAAAGTCATGTGTTGCTGGAGAGCAGATGGATAGTCTTGAAGTTGTTACTCTTATTTTCACCAAGTTATGGTGCTCTAAAGTTCTCTGGCTCTCCAGACCTACACAGTGGGCAAGTGTCTTGGCAAGGCCACCTAGGGTGCACCTAAGTCAGATACAAATCTGTGAGATTCTGGGGGCTGTATCTCTGGTTCCCTGAAGGCAAGCAGTGCAATCCAGGACTCGCTGGAAAGGGCACATCACGCTCTACATGTGGAGTTTGGCTTTATTATGGATTTCTAAAGTGCTTCTTGCAAAGCATTGCATTCTCCTGTGGTTTTATTTGTGACGTCATCAGCGATTAGTTGACATCGACTCAACTTTACAGATAAAGCCTTTAATATCACATAATTGTCAACTTTAAAAAATCTGAAAGTGTGCAACCCTTAAAGTAAACTGAAAGACAACATTGTGTTGCTGTAGTATTTCTTCAAGTGGAAATGATGTATTACTATCGTAAAGGCCAGTAACAAACCGTATGTTGTACAGCCCTAAAATGCACACGGACATTCACAGGCGTTCTCGTTCTTCTCGTTCTCTCTCTCTCTAGCACGTTCACAAAGCCTGACTGTGTTATGCTGTAGCTCCCCTGCAGAAATGCTGAAGATTCCTCTGGGAAAATAACCTTGCTGTAACTGCTCAGCCAGCACGATTGAATCTCTTTCTCTCTCGCTCTCCCCGTCTCTCTGACCCTCAAATCCTGCTTCTTCACCTGTCCTCCCCAGCAGCTGGACCCACACCTGCCACACAGCCTGCACATCTGGAATACAACAGTTCACCCTTCAGGCCTAACCTTACATTAATGCCCTGAAAAACAGCAGATGCATGAGCCTCACATCATGCCACAAAATGATTTAGAGTAGCTACCAAACCTTCTATACCCCTAAGGCTGGACAAAATACCATACTGAGACTATGATATGCTTACAACCATACCGGTGAAGAATGTGACAAAGTTAAAAGGGAATTTAAACAATATTTACATACATATACATATACTGCCTGATTTAATGGTTGAGATGTCATTCAGAGTGGTTTGTTATGAAATGTATTGTAGAGAAACTCTAGAGAGAGATAAATAAAGTACCCCTCCTGTTACTGGGGTGGTCTCCTCAAGGGTACATCTCAGTATGTTTAGTCAGGGAACATAATTGTACCATAATCCATTGAAATTATGTTTTCTAAGCTGTATTGATTCCACACACCCTGACTCATCTCCAGGCTTTTTATTTTATTGTTCTGTTTTAAAACATTAGGTTATGAAAAAGTACAAATACGTACTTTTCACCTGGGAAAACTTATTTAAGGTACACAATTGGACCTTAGAACCACTGTAGTACCTTTGAGGGAACATTTAGTAGTGGTGGTGATGGGAACCAGGGGCTGTGACGCAACTATTGCCATTTTATTTACTACCCAAAATGACCAATGAACCTACATGTGTTTCATGTAGTGTTGATAAGGGTAAAATAGTGCTACATCTGAAAAAAAAGTATTTTCTTTGTGGATTATTTTGCCTTACAATTCCCCGCATGTATCCCTCCGCCATGAACCTTCTTTTAAAAATGTGTTTTAAGCCAAAATATTATGTCAAAACTATCGGGAAAAAAATGTCAACAGGCAGCATATTCATAAACATTACATGTAATAACTTTCTGTGAGGTAGCTTTCAGATACATTAAACTCCGGTTGTTATCACCACCATTTCTTAATTAATTTTCTCTACAATGGCACATTTTACATCAAACCACCTAATGACTTTGTTTACATTTTTACAATTGATTTGTATGCAGATTTATTATTTTTTAATTGATGTAATTCCATCTTAACGAACCGGTGTGCATTATTTTGACCAAAATTATTTACATTTGTTGGAAAACATAAATTCTTTGGTTCATCCAGTCATCAACAGAAACTCGCCTGGATGCTCATAAAATATTTAATGATTAATTTGAAGGCTAATTTGCAGTGTTGTCGCTGTTGCAAAGGGAAATATGAACTGTGTTCCAAAGCCTAGGCTGCATTTCTCGGCTGCTACGTCTTAAAAGGCCGTTCCAAAGTGAAG